CCATTTTGGTTTCTCTTCGATTGATTTTAGCGATCCTAAGTTGGTCATGAGTAACTTAGACTTTGGATCTTAACTTTAGGATTGACTTGGCTAAGATTGGTTAGTGGAACGGTATGCCGATCATAACGTCACGCTAAGATTGGGATTTTATGGGTTTACGATTGGCGTAGGGCTAAGATCAGTTAGTGGAACGGCACCCAGCTCTTTCCCGGAGTAACAGCTGGGCACACAAGGAGGATCTTATTCCAAGCTGGGGCTACTGGTTTACTGGGGACATATTCTGACCTTGAATCTCCACAGGTTTAAAGTGAAAGACTGGACAAGTAAGGTAACTTGAATACTGCTGAAGTCATCAAACACATATTGATGTAGACACTGAAACTTCCCTGGCAATGTTAATAGTTTAGATTCACACATATCACCCACTTATGGAAAGGAATCAAATGATTGTAATACTTTATGAGGAATTCAGTCCCATAGTCTGGTGCCCAGTTTTATATATACCCGGTACCGATATCATCTCAGTCTATGTGTGGAACTGAAGCACTATAACAAAGGTAAACAGTTAACCACTGAGTGGGCTGAATTAACAGAGCAGAGCTACAGATAACATTTTTGGTCTTTGAGTTGTGTACTCGCTTGTGTTCATCTCAGTTGGGTAGAGTTGGGAATTGGTTAAAATCTCATAATCGATGATTGCTTCATTACAACCGATCAATCATCGAAAATAATTGGTTAGTAATGCACACAAAAAATAACATGTAGTTCTTTGGGGTTTTTTGGGGCAAAATTTCACATCTTTAAAGGATTACAAGTATGTTACGAACATACATTTCTTGGAGTCTTTAAGATAAATTCAATCATGACTTGGAACGAGTTTGTAGTGCTTAATAAATGTAACAGACAAAACCAGCTTTGTGAAATATTTTGTTAATGAAAACAAGTGTTCCAGAATTGTTTGTGTCGATTATGAGAAAACATGATCGATTGCTTGGTCGTTTAGTCACTGCGACCAATCTTCGATTATTTCAATTAATCGGACCACCACTACAGTTGGGTATCCTAATATTCCCTTGAGTAACCAAACAAGTTGTATCCACCTTACTCAAACTCAATTGGGTAATTTGCCAATATTTGTAAATTTTAATATACAAGCATCCCTCGCCATAACACGGGTCTTGGGGTCCATGGATGACCCCCCGCGTTATTAGACACCCGGGTTATAAGTAACGATTACATAACGCGGAACAAAGGCCAAGTAAAATCTTATTTTCCATGGACATAACAAAACTGCTATTTCGTGTATTGTGCCCAGTCAAAACTATATCGTATTGTTTGAGGTGAAAAAAACAACAACTTTGTAAATAAAAAATAGATGTATGTACATGAAACTTACAATCAAACACCACAAGACATGATAATTCAATTGTTGTTCCTGTCATGCTACCTGTTATTCAACTAAGCCGGAAATAGCAATCAGCTGGGCACACATCGATGTTTTGATCCAATGTACCGGTGATTCATTTAAAAACGATCCGAAAATATAACATCCAAGAATTTCTATTCCATTATCAGAATAATTGACATGTCAAGCAGTTATTTTAACAGAGATCTTATATATTGCTATCGTATAAGTATAATGCATGTTTTCTACGAACATATTTAACATAATAATAAGCATTGCTAAGCACTTTGGGTTACCTGGCTGGATACATTTTACGTAGGAGACAGTTTGACAAGTCACCGCTGACTTCCCGCGGTATGTGCCACTTTGATTGTAAAAACAAAATGTTGGCAATTAATTGTCAAATATGACTTCAACGAGTCAATAATGCGGGTCTTAGGGTCAATGGATGACAAGGCTGTAATCTGTTCGTGGTTGCTGAGAAAAATGTGAAATTGGTGCTCTCGCGGTAGGCGCGAAAAACGGACCCTCACGAATGTGGTAAGCGGGTGTTGTATGGAATGAGGTAATGCCATTTCACTACGGTTTCTCCGTTGTTATTGTAAACAGTTTTAATGAATGAAAATGGGATTGAATTTAATCAAATAAAATGTGTTTTCTGAAATCATACATTCTCGGATGGCTGTGTATACCCGCGCAATTACGCGGTGTGTTGCATCATAGCAAAAGGTTGTAGGTACTCGGCTGATAATCGACATGTCTTTATGATAAAATTATTATGATGTTTCGCTGTTCATCAATTATTATTGAAAAAGACACTGCATGTTTTAAGCATCTGAAAAAACATGGATATATACGATAAACACTGTTATTGCAATCCGCACTGAATTTCACTAGTTTACTACGTGATTAACCAGAGCTCAACAGCGGATTTGTTGATGTGCTATTTTCGATCACGTGAATATGTGTGATCACTGGGCAACTTTTTTTTGTGGGAGCCACGGATTACCCCGCGGTTTAACCGAATCCGCGGTATCGCGAAGAGCGTTATTGCGAGGGATGACTGTAATACAATTTAAATGTTGGTTTACACATTGGCTATTTACATTGATCTGTAAAATGAGAAAGATCGATAAGAAAGACTGCAAGTTGCCACGTTCATGTCCTGAAATAGAGCCTCTCAATCTACCTCAGTTACTTTATTTATCCACTGGTACACAAGCTAAGATTTGACATTTTTGTGTGTACGCATGTAAAATCAAATTTATTGAGTATTTACAAAAATTCAAGTGTACTTGTACTCAATAGAAATATTTGCGTAATTTACGCAGATACGCAGCTTACCTGTACCTCAGCTGGTGCAAGTGAGCATACAAACAAATGACGATGAATAGCTTAGTGTACTTGGACCACTAACTGACACACCTAGTGAACTTCAACAACATTCTACACTTACCGCTCCCTTCAACAACATTCTACACTTACCGCTCCCTTCAACAACATTCTACACTTACCGCTCCCTTCAACAACATTCTACACTTACCGCTCCCTTCAACAACATGCTACACTTACCGCTCCCTTCAACAACATTCTACACTTACACGCTCCCTTCAACAACATTCTACACTTACCGCTCCCTTCAACAACATTCTACACTTACCGCTCCCTTCAACAACATTCTACACTTACCGCTCCCTTCAACAACATTCTACACTTACCGCTCCCCCTTCAACAACAACATTCTACACTTACCGCTCCTTCAACAACATTCTACACTTACGGCTCCCTTCAACAACATTCTACACTTACCGCTCCCTTCAACAACATTCGACACTTACCGCTCCCTTCAACAACATTCGACACTTACCGCTCCCTTCAACAACATTCTACACTTACCGCTTCCCTTCAACAACATTCTACACTTACCGCTCCCTTCAACAACAATCTACACTTACCGCTCCCTTCAACAACATTCTACACTTACCGCTCCCTTCAACAACATTCTACACTTACGCTCCCCTTCAACAACATTCGACACTTACCGCCTCCCTTCAACAACATTCGACACTTACGCTCCCTTCAACAACATGCTACACTTACCGCTCCCTTCAACAACATGCTACACTTACCGCCTCCCTTCAACAACATTCGACACTTACATTCAACATTCGACACTTACCGGGCTCCTTCAACAACATTCTACACTTACCGCTCCCTTCAACAACATTCTACACTTACCGCTCCCTTCAACAACATTCTACACTTACCGCTCCCTTCAACAACATTCTACACTTACCGCTCCCTTCAACAACATGCTACACTTACCGCTCCCTTCAACAACATGCTACACTTACCGCTCCCTTCAACATTCGACACTTACCGCTCCCTTCAACAACATTCTACACTTACCGCTCCCTTCAACAACATTCGACACTTACCGCTCCCTTCAACAACATTCTACACTTACCGCTCCCTTCAACAACATTCTACACTTACCGCTCTCCCTTCAACAACATTCTACACTTACCGCTCCCTTCAACAACATTCTACACTTACCGCTCCCTTCAACAACATTCTACACTTACCGCTCCCTTCAACAACATTCGACACTTACCGCTCCCTTCAGGTCTCTGGTCAGTTGGTCAAGTCTGCCGGCCGATGCCTCCATGTGGCTCAACTTCTGGTTAATCTGTCGGATCTCATTCAAGTTCTTGGTCTGGAGAAATACCACACAACAAGGTCATGTCACACAGTCTCATTGTTCTCCAGTCACTCAGTTCAAATACATTACCTTAGTTTAATGTAATGAACTCTTAAATGCTAACAATTTACGATTCTGTATATTCATCACAGAATATTCAGTATGATTTCTTCTAAGGTGTCATGCACCATGTCTCTGTAATTCATGTCTGCCTTCTATAGATGTACTGACCCGTGAAGGTCCGGGTTAGAATATTGATCTTCAGTAACCCCTGCTTGTCGTAAGAGGCGACTAATGGCATTGGGTGGTAAGGCTCACTGACTTGGTTGACACATGTCATCGGTTCCCAATTGCGCAGATCGATGCTCATGCTGTTGATCACTGGATTGTATGGTCCAGACTCGATTATTTACAGACCGCCACCATATATTGGAATATTGCTGAGTGGGGCGTAAATCTAAACTTACTCACTCACTCTATAAATGTACCATATTGTTTCAAATTCTTTCTTGGTTGAAAATTCATATGTGTGTGCTATGCTAGGATTTTTGACATGAGATCTATCCAGAGCAATGTATGTATGTGTAATCCCACATATTTTCTGAATCGAGGTCAGATGCCTCGTCCACATGACAGAAAAGGTAAACACTGACAGTGACTGACTCTGTGCCCCTCTGTCACTACACTGACCATGAGGTCGCTCTAAGGTGGGGTAGCCTTGCGGTTAAAGCGTTTGCTCGCCACACCGAAGACCCGGTTTTGATTCCCCACATGGGTACAATGTGTGAAGCCCATTTTGGTGTTCCCCGCTGTGACGTTGTAGGAATATTGCTAAAAGCGGCGTAAAACTATACTCACTCACACTATGACCATGCATTCTGTCACCATATTTACCATGAGGTCTTTCTTGATCCGCTCACTCTGCTCCAGCTTGGTCTTGCTGTCCCGCAGGTCATCCATCTTCTTCTGAACGGAGGCCTCCTTATCTTCATACCTCGTCTGCAGGGAACACTCACAAGTTGTATCTACTTGATAACTACATTTACTGGAGCATGTCAATACCTAGTTACCTCACTCTGGTCTAATGCTGGCACTCTGGTCTAATGCTGGCACTCTGGTCTACTATGGGTAATATGGTCTACTATGGGGTCTAATATGGTCTGGTCTAATATTATTAATCTGGTCTAGTGCTGGCACTCTGGTGTAATTGGCACTCTGGTCTAATATAAGTAATATGGGTAATCTGGTCTAATGCTGGCACTCTGATCTAATACTTGCACTCTGATCTAATACTGGCTTTCTGGTCTAATGCTGGCACCCTGGTCTAATACTGGTACTCTGGTCTAATGCAGGCATTTTGGTCTAATGCTGGCACTCTGGTCTAATATGGATAATCTTGTCTAATGCTGGCACTCTGGTCTAATGCTGGCACTCTGATTTAATACTGGCACTCTGGTCTAATGCTGGCACTCTGATTTAATACTGGCACTCTGGTAAACGCTGAAACTGGTCTACTAGTAATAATGGCACTTTGGTCTAACATTGGCACACTGGTCTAATTCTGGCACTCTGGTCTAATAATGGCACTCTGGTGTAATGCTGGCACTCTGGTCTAATGCTGGCACTGTGCTTGTTTGCAACTGTTTAGTCATACTGAAATTTCTGTAGTGCTGCAGTGATACATTCTGGTCAGTTACACTTTTCATCACCTTCAACACTGAGAACCAAACAAACAAGCTTCATAAACAGGTTGTAGGTTAGAGGCTACATGTCTATTGAGCTACATTACCATGGCAACAAATGTTACTCACCTTCAAGTCCCGAGTGTCGGCAACCATTCCCTCCAGTTTGGTTCTGACATTTTCAAAGAACGACTTATATTTCTCGTCGGAGATTTGCCCTCTCTCAAACCCTGCAGACAAAAAAAAAAAACTGAACCAATTACTCAAAGAAGCATCGTCAGGCACTACCATATTATCATAAAACATTGAGATAATATTTGGTGTAAAACAATAGTTCCAAATATTCAGTGTACAAACAGTTTAGTCTTAGGGGCAACTTTGCCAAAATCACTGTTTATGGTCGTTTATGTCAAGCATAATATGTTGCATTTCTAGGTTCTTGTGTTGGTTGTTCATGATACCTGTATGAAAGATTTATGGCATTAATTGTGTACTGTGATATGTGCTGGGAGTGAAAGAGGTGTGAGTAAAGCACTGGTTCAGCCGATTGCACATAATCCTGTAAACTAGCCCTGCTGACCAATCTCACCTTCAAACACATACTGGACAGCCAGGGTACGGATCAGCTCATCCCGCTTCTCAATATTCTGTTTGTGAGTCTGATAAAGAAGAATACATTCAAAACGATTAACAACATCTGTGTCAACAAACATGCCATTACAGAAATGTCATTCAGAGTGAGAGAAGTTGGGAGTTGAGAGGAGGTATCACTTGACCTGGCAGGAGGATCACTTGGAAGTCAGTGGGTTTGGTCTACTATTGTTTCATGTGAGTTGAGACACAGCATATCAGTTTCCTACTTGAGGAGAGGTCGAAGTCTTCCATGTCCTTTACTAAGTGAAATGGGCATGGTACTGACAAATCGAAATGAGTAAGTTTAGTTTTACTCCTGCGACCTTCCGGCTTCAGGCGGACTCAGCAATATTCCAGCTATATGGTGGCGTTTAGTTTTTACGCCGTGCTCAGCAATATTCCAGCTATATGGTGGCGTTCTGTAAATAATCGAGTCTGGGCCAAACAATCCAGTGATCAACAGCATGAGCATCGATCTATGCAATTGGGAACCGATGACATGTGTCAACCAAGTCAGCGAGACTTCGAAATGAGTAAATATGATACGAGACAAAATCTCTCACCACCTGTGCAATTTGTTTCCTTGTGGGACTACTTTGGGCCTCTCTGAGGCCATACTTTGCTGTCTCCCCTGTGAGACACCGACTCACCTGAGCCTCCTGCTGCAGCTTGCCCACCTCCAGCTGCAGCTGTGACTTCTCTCGGCCAAGTTTATCCGCCGATGTTGACAGCTCCTCCTTCCGTCGCTCCATCTGCACCATCACAACATACACCATGATGATAACACCATCATTGTCAACATAAAGTGTCCTGACATATTTGAGGATATTTGAATCGAACAAATCTTCTATTAAAAAGCTCAGAAGTTGTCACCTATCGAAAGAATATAAGGCCAGTTCTATGAGAAGCTCTGACTACTACTCAAGAGACAAGTGGACCAGTCTTTCCCATGCGTTGTCCTCCGTGTCCTCACCTGCTGCACTGTGTCCTTCCTCTCCTGAAGCTTGTCCTCAAAGTCCTCCATGACTCGCTTCAGTTCCTCTGTGGGCCCTGCGGCACACAACACACACTGTACAACTTGGCCAGGATCAACAAGTGTCATAGGGGTGGCTTTAACTAATTTCACTTGCCCGATATTCACTCTCACTCACAGACAGATGGATAGACACACATAGATATGTAGAGATACTACTGACCCTAAAAGCAGTGAAACTTGTTCAATTTGCTGATGCTCTTGCTTTGAGAGAGCTGAGGGAGTGTTCATAATTAATGGCTAGAGGGGTGATGATGATTTTTATGGAGAAGCATGTACAATATGAATGAACCCTCAAACCTAAAATTAATGTACAAGTAATTAGTAATTGACTCCTCCCTCTCCCCCAGTACATGTGTACAAACTTGATGACCCCTTACCTCCCCAGAACAAAATGGGTGATAACACACACACACAGATAGATGCGGACGCGAGCATGCACACACACACACAAACCCAAACAAACAAAAAAAAAACACCCCTTAGCCATAAATTATGAATGGTCCCTAATATGAACTGGAAAGATACTAGTTTCCCTTGAAATTATATTCAATACTTATATTCATATTACTTGCCCTAGTACTTATTTTCATTGTGCTGTGACAGATACTACTTTCCATGGAACTTATGATCAATGTGCTGGTAAAGCTAATACAAAATTTGCATCTTGTGTTCATAGTCCTGATACAGATACTATTCACCCAAGAAATCACATTCAGTGTGACACTATACATACTACTTACCTTGAAATTCATGTTCAATGTTGTCCTGGAGTTCCTGGATATTTTTCTCCAGTTGGCCCTTCTCACTCTCCAGCTTCTCTGCAGCAGAGCAAACATCATATACATAAAATCATGTCTAATTGAAAACATTTTGGTTCTGCTTTGAGAACATCAACTTCAGATTATTCCACTTGTTTATCTAACTGGAGCGGTGGGGTAGCCTAGTGGTTAAAGCGTTCACTCGTCATGCGCTTCGATTCCCTACATGGGTACAATGTGTGAAGCCTATTTCTGGTGTCCCCCGCCGTGATATTGCTGGAATATTGCTAAAAGCGGCGTAAAACCCAACTCATGCATGCATGTTTATCTTACTTCCATTTATCAAGTTCACAAATCTAAACATACCAATTTTAGTCTTCACTTTGAATATCTCATTTGCATTCTGTTGTATTTTATCAAGACGCTCCTGAAACAAAGGAGAAAATGAATATGAATGTATACTCCTTACAACTGATCTGATCATCATGTATTGCCTGACTGTGAAATTTTGATCAGGAATGACCTACAGCCTAAACCTGTTACATGTATCCACAATAAACTGGCAAAGTGAGCAAGTTTTGTACGTAATAACCCAGTCAGCAATACTCAACTTAAATACAGTGGCTTGGAAACTAGTTTTGACAACAACAACCCAACCTGTAAGTTTGGTGCCAGAAGATTAATAGTCACTCATCCTACTGGGTACCCATTCACTACTGGATTATTTCAAACAATTTCACTTGCCTGAAGAGACACAACATGTACAACATGTGTATAAAGGACTGGTGAAGGACGGAAGCACTTCAAATCCCAATAGTTGTCTCTTGCGTTGTCAACCAAGTCACGCAGTAGGACAATAAATGCAATTTAGTCACCATATAACCAGTGAAAACACTGGAAAACTACCCAACCTCAAAATATAACAGTTCAGGAGTGAGGCTTCTGACATCAAGGATTGTTCTTTACACTATAATCTATCTGTCATGATGTGTACTGATCCGAAGGCTGTACTGACCTCTATAGGAACAAGCTGCTCAGTAATCTTTGCTACAGACTCCTTGGAAGCTACAGACTTGATGTTGAGTTCCTCCAGGTTGGATTGCAGCTGTAACACATGGAGGGGACATGTTTTCACAACAGCTGTAACACATGGAGGGGGCATGTTTTCACAACAGCTGTAACACATGGAGGGGGCATGTTTTCACAACAGCTGTAACACATGGAGGGGGCATGTTTTCACAACAGCTGTAACACATGGAGGGGGACATGTTTTCACTGTAACAGCTGTAACAGCATGTAACAGCTGTACACATGGAGGGGCATGTTTTCACTACAGCTGTAACACATGGAGGGGCATGTTTTCACTACAGCTGTAACACATGGAGGGGCATGTTTTCACCACAGCTGTAACACATGGAGGGGATGTTTTCACTACAGCTGTAACACATGGAGGGGGCATGTTTTCACAACAGCTGTAACACATGGAGGGGGCATGTTTTCACAACAGCTGTAACACATGGAGGGGCATGTTTTCACTACAGCTGTAACACATGGAGGGGACATGTTTTCACTACAGCTGTAACACATGGAGGGGGACATGTTTTCACTACAGCTGTAACACATGGATGGGACATGTTTTCACTACAGCTGTAACACATGGAGGGGACATGTTTTCACTACAGCTGTAACATACGGAGGGGACGTTTTCACTACAGCTGTAACACACGGAGGGGACATGTTTTCACTACAGCTGTAACACATGGAGGGGACATGTTTTCACTACAGCTGTAACACATGGATGGGACATGTTTTCACTACAGCTGTAACACACGGAGGGGACATGTTTTCACTACAGCTGAAAACACGGAGGGGACATGTTTTCACTAAAGCTGTAACACATGGAGGGGGCATGTTTTCACTACAGCTGTAACACACGGAGGGGACATGTTTTCTCTACAGCTGTAACACATGGAGGGGACATGTTTTTACTACAGCTGTAACACATGGATGGGACATGTTTTCACTACAGCTGTAACACACGGAGGGGACATGTTTTCACTACAGCTGAAAAACACGGAGGGGACATGTTTTCACTAAAGCTGTAACACATGGAGGGGGCATGTTTTCACTACAGCTGTAACACACGGAGGGGACATGTTTTCACTACAGCTGAAAAACACGGAGGGGACATGTTTTCACTAAAGCTGTAACACATGGAGGGGGCATGTTTTCACTACAGCTGTAACACATAGAGGTCACTACAGCTGTAACACATAGAGGGGGCATGTTTTCACTACAGCTGTAATACATGGAGGGGAAATGTTTCACTACAGCTGTAACACATGGAGGAGACATGTTTTCACTAAAGCTGTAACACATGGAGGGGAAATGTTTTTACTACAGCTGTAATACATGGAGGGGAAATGTTTCACTACAGCTGTAACACACGGAGAGGGCATGTTTTCACTACAGCTGTAACACATATAGGAGACATGTTTTCACAACAGCTGCAGCACCTCTTCACACTGCCCCGCCCCTTCCCCACCTATTTCATACTGTTGACAGATCTGCCAGGGGATGGGGAATAACTGGCCATGGCTATTACTTCCCAAGGGAAGAACTGTTCGAGGCTGTTACACTGACCCAACCTAACGCCTCCCTACCCTGTCCTACCTCAGTCGCCTTGTCCTTATGCTCCTTTAGGTACTTCAGGTCCTGTTTGTAGAGCTTGATGTGGCCGTCCTGTGAACACATCGCAGTCAGTGAAATGGAGAGTCATGGATTAAGTAAATGAGTGAGTGGGCTGCTGAGAGGTTGTGTTGATGGGCAGTCAGAGTGAGAGGCTGGGTGGTAACAGTTAAGCTTCATATGACGGACATTTCTGGATGAGGAAGACCAGTGGTTGTAACTACGACTCTCCACTCTGTCCAAACACTATCAGCCTGGTTACCATGGTTACACGCATTCCCTTAAAGCAAGAGTATCCACTAGCCCTTGCCACATTCAAAATACTTTTCCTGGCATGATTATAGCGCCCCTCTGTGTAGAAGATGTGTCATATAACTTTAAGAAAATGTCACATCAACTCAGATCACAGCTCCAAAATGACGACCACCACAACAGGCCACCTAGTTGATCAGATAGGAAAACGATTCCAGATTTCATACTTGGCAAACCAAACGATCACTTACCACAGTAAAGCTACTGGATGGATCAACTATGTAGCATAGGCCAACAGAACAAATGCTCCTCCTAATCCTTCTGGAGAGACAACCAACAACTAACATGGACAGAAAATACCATGTAAAACTGACCTGCTCTTGCTTGAGTTTCCGGATGGTATCCAGCACCTTGGTGTATCTGGTCGAGGCAAAGATGGCATCAAACTTCTCCTTCAGGGCTCTCCCCTCACACAGCGGCCTGGACAGAAGCAGTTGCCATGACAATGTAGCGGCCATAAAATTTCCGAGTCCCGTACTGGGATTCGAACCACGAACCTGCTATTCCGGAGTCAGACGCCTTGTCCACATGACCAAAGAGGTTAACCCCGTCAGCAAGCTGATAAGGTAAGGATGTCATCCGTGGGATGACTCCACGCCCTGCTACATACTCCCCCATCAACAGAAGGCACGTCCCGAGCCGCATAGTTGGGTACTGAGACTTATTTTGCTCAAATTTGATATGAACGTGCTCAGCCCCCAAGTTGGGCGCCAATGTAGCGGCCATAAAATTTCCGAGTCCCGTGCTGGGATTCGAACCACGGACCTTCTGATCAGAAGCCGGACGCCTTGTCCACATGACCAAAGAGGTTAACCCCGTCAGCAAGCTGACAAGGTAAGGATGTCATGTGTGGGATGACACCACGCCCTGCTACAACATCATTGCTGACACATCTGTCTACTGTAACACTCATCCATGCTCTAGCTCTTACATACTCATAGTTTGAACAGGTCAGTAGATACTGACATCTCATTCATATCTTGATGAAGTGTTCGAGTAGTATTCACATGGCAAAAGCGCATATTCTATAAGCATGGAATGAAAGGATTCTAAGAAATAGCTGGTGAATCAGCTACAGTTTCTTTCAAAGTCTTCAAATCAGATGTGGGGCGGAGGTGTAGCCTAGTGGTTAAAGTGTTGCCTCATCACACCAAAGACCTGTGTTCGATTCCCCACATAGGTACAATATGTGAAGCCCATTTCTGGTGTCCCCTGACGTGATATTGCTGGAATATTGCTAAAAGCGGCGTAATACCATACTCACTCACTCAACTCAGATCTTGGTTCTTCCTACCACAAAACAAAGGTCTGAGGGTATGCATAGAAACAAGCTTACCAGTTGGACTCCTCTTGGTGACAGAAAATCACGTTGTCCAGAACAGCCTTGGACACTCCCAGTGCAGTCACCATCTACAACAGACACAGATGAGTTTACACGGACATTTCAATTGGTGTTGCAAACCTTCACTGACAAGTGTAACATGACATGCATCACATTCTAAGGTACTGGGGGGCCGAGAACCATCAAGGGGTCACATTTGAAGGTACTGGGGACGCATTCTGCCCTAAACCTCAAGGGGCAGATAAGGTACAAGGGGGGCACAAGTTTTCATGACACCTGTAACACATGGGACACCTGTAACACATGAGGCACCTGTAACACATGGGACACCTGTAACACATGGGACACCTGTATCATGACTCCTGTAACACATGGGACACCTGTATCATGACTCTTGTAACACATGGGACACCAGTATCATGACTCTTGTAACACATGGGACACCTGTATCATGACTCCTGCAACACATGGGACACCAGTAATGACACCAGTATCATGACTCCTGCAACACATGGGACAGGGACATCATGACTCCTGCAACACATGGGACACCTGTATCATGACTCCTGCAACACATGGGACACCTGTATCACATGGGACACTCCTGCAACACATGGGACACCTGTATCATGACTCCTGCAACACATGGGACACCTGTATCATGACTCCTGCAACACATGGGACACCAGTATCATGACTCCTGTAACACATGGGACACCAGTATCATGACTCCTGCAACACATGGGACACCTGTATCATGACTCCTGCAACACATGGGACACCTGTATCATGACTCCTGCAACACATGGGACACCAGTATCATGACTCTGGGGACACCTGTGTAACACATGGGACACCAGTATCATGACTCCTGTAACACATGGGACACCAGTATCATGACTCCTGCAACACATGGGACACCTGTAACATATGGGACACCTTATCATGACTCCTGCAACACATGGGACACATGTATCATGACTCCTGCAACACATGGGACACATGGGACACCTGCACCACACACACCTGGGACACCTTATCATGACTCCTGCAACACATGGGACACATGTATCATGACTCCTGCAACACCTGTATCATGACTCCTGCAACACATGGGACACATGTATCATGACTCCTGTAACACATGGGACACCTGCAACACATGGGACACACGTATCATGACTCCTGTAACACATGGGACACCCCAGTGCAACACATGGGACACATGTATCATGACTCCTGTAACACATGGGACACCTTATCATGACTCCTGCAACACATGGGACACATGTATCATGACTCTTGTAACACATCGGACACATGTAACAACACCTGTACCACATGGGACACCTGTATCATGACATCTGTAACACATGGGACACCTGTATCATGATTCCTGTAACACATGGGACACATGTATGATGACTCCTGTACCACATGGGACACCTGTACCACATGGGACACCGGTATCATGATTCCTGTACCACATGGGACACATGTATCATGACACCTGTAACACATGAGACACCTGCATCATGACTCCTGTACCAAATGGGACACCTGTATCACCTTATCATGACACATGTAACACATGGGACACCTTATCACAACCCTTGTAACACATGGGACACCTGCAACAGATTAGACACCTGTATCATGACACCTGTAACACACTGAACACCTGTATCATGACACTTGTAACACATGTGGCACCTTATCATGACACCTGTAACACATTTGACACCTTAACACCTATATATAACACATGAAACACCTTATCATAACACCTGTAACACATGGGACACCTATATGACACATGTACCACATTGGGAAAATATATATGACATCTGTAACACATGGGGCACCTGTATCATGACACCTGTAACACCTTATCATGACACCTGTAACACATGTGCCACCTGTAACACATGGGACACCTGTATCATGACACTTGTAACACAGGTGGCACCTTATCATGACACACCTTATCACGACACATGTAACACATGCAACACATGAGACACCTGTATCATGACACTTGTAACACATGTGGCACCTTATCATGACACCTGTAAGACATGGGACACATGTAACACCTATATGACACCAGCAAGGCATGGGACACCTTATCATGACACCTGTAACACCTATATGATGACACCTGTAACACATGGGACACCTGTAACACATGTGGAATCTGTTTTACCTGGACAAATGTAAAAGGTTATACATACCTCCTTGTCTAGTTCAGCACACCTAGAAGTGATGCTCTTCTTCTGTCCATCCGGTCCCCATCTTGTAATCACACCATCTAGTGTTCTAGTCTCTATCTTTTTCACCTGATACACACACAGTAGAAAAAGGATAGATAACCCTACTATTTTAACTAATATTTTGAAATTTGAGGATTTCTCACTGCCAGTGAAGTGGCCATTTGGTTGTGTCAAGTGTTTTCAGTGGGTTTTCATAACTTTTCAATCTGAAATAAGATAACCCCTCTACAAAAATCACACTGTGGACTATGCTCAAAACCTTCAATAATTACACTTAACTCACATACGTGACAGCACTGAAGGTGAGCAGCCAAAATGAAGTGGGGTTCAATTACAAACTGAAGCAGCCAACACAAAGTTTAGTTCCACTCGGAACATCTCTATGATACGGTTACAGTTACACTGAGATGCAAAAGATGTCACAGCCTGTTATAGAAAAATCTCAAGCTTTAAGTTGTAAAAACGTATAATACACTCTAGGCATGAATAATTAATTTCTACGGTGTTCACTGCCCAAAATGTTCAGTCACACACACTAACACAGCTATCTGTAATCATTAATTGTACGCATATTATCTACAAATACCTATTGATACTGAGTGAGAAAGAACTTTTCTAAAAATATTAACTACCACTGTCACGTGGCCAAAAACTGGTCTGTTTTAGTTCAGGTGATTATTGTGATTTGATAGCTTTGATTGACCGGTCAGAATCAAGTATTATTATTTACAGACCGCCGTCATATAGCTGAAAATATTGCTGAGTGCAGCGTAAAACTAAATTCACTCAGTATCAAGTATGTTCCACATTGATGGCAGACCTAGGGTTGAAAATCAGGATCTCAGCAGGCCAAGATAAACCCTGGTTAGGTACCATTCATAATTGATGGGTGATGATGATTTTTATGGAGAAGCATGTACAATGTGAATGAACCCCCTTAAGATTTATGTGCAAAGTAAGTGAACCCCCTGCATGTCATGTACAAAATCAATGACCCCTCCCTTCCCATAATTTTTAAGCATAATTAAAAAAAATATTTTCATGCAGCTGCCCCCCACCCCCTGAGTGCATTTCTACGACACCCCTACATTCCTAGAACAATATGGGTGAACCCCCACCCCACTCCCTTAAAATCATCACCACACACACACACCCAGCCAAACATTATGAACAGTCCCTTTGGCAAGGAGAGCTCAACACTATCTTGTCTCTAACTCTCTATTCTCATTGTACCTTCTGTGTTGCTGTTATGGACCTCTGTACACTACACTGTTGACCCGTCATGTCCCTCATCAGGAGACGAATCTGGCCCTTCACTTCACGCTCATGGGCGACCTGTTCCAAGAAATAAATACTCATCAGATTGTTGGCAGCATACTTGCAATTATTTACAAATTTTTAGGTCTTAACAATGATAATTGCAACTCTAAATGTTTAAGTGGAGCGTTGGGTAGCCTAGTGGTTAAAACCTTCGCTAGTCACTCCGAATGTCCAGGTTCGATTCCCAAATGGGTACAAAGTGTGAAGCCCATTTATGGTGTCCCCTACCGTTATATTGCTGAAATATTGCTGAAGCGGCGTAAAACCAAACTCATTCACTCACTTATGTTTCTAGATTTTGACAAGCACTAATGGGGCATGATCACATTCAACCTGTGAGTTTCCCAATTTCATTTCCTGGAACTATGCATCTGTAAAAGTATCATTACAATAAACATATCAAAAGGGGTCCTGTCATGATAACTGTGTTTATTTTTGTTTGTTGTTTATTGCCCGCAACATTCCAGCTATTTGACACATACAGTACAACCAGAAATTATTGAGAATTTAAAGATTGTAAATTTAAAAAAAAAAATTCACTCATTACTCATGTATTAAATGGTAATATTAGCAGAACATAACTCCAGATTCAAAGACAGGTGAACAGTTAGTATTTTGTCAAGTCACCATGGGCAGCAATGCAGGGTTCAATGCGGCGGGGCATACTACTGATCAAAGAAGTTAGAAAGTCATGGTCCATGCTGTCCCAATATTGGACCACCTCTTCTTTCATTTCAGCAATATTTGTCAGATTTTTCTTATTGACACTTTCCTTCATAAGTCCCCAAACATTTTCTGTTGAATTTAGGTCAGGGCTATAGCTTGGCCAATCTAATAATGTCATATTTTGGGTCCGAAACCAGGCCTGTGAATGCTTTGAACGATGTTTTGGGTCGTTGTCCTGCTGGAAAATCCAAAACTTTCCATAGAATAAGTGAGCAGATGGAAGTAAATGTACCTCGAGAATATCTGTGTACCGCTCACTGTTCATATTCCCTTCAAATACACAGACGGGCGTTGCCCCTAACACAGACATGCCACCCCACACATTAAATTTCAGACTGTACTTTGGGTGCTGATACAACGGTTTTTCAGTTTGTTTGGTCCAGAATTTCAGTGTATTAGGAAACAGCCACACAGAACTTTCATCTGAGAAAATCACATTGTCCCAGTTAAAATTTCTATGCTGTAAGCACCAGTTCAACCTTCTGCCCTTTTGTTCAGGTTTCATGATCGGTGATGGAATTCCTCGACTTTTCTGCCAACCCATTGCATGCAGCTCAGTTCTAATTGTCTCCTTACAGACAGCCACAGTTCCTCTATCAATCATATCCAGCCTTAAGTTTTCTAAACTTCTTCGTTTGTTTTTAGAAACAAGAATACCAAGCCGCCTCCTGTCACTTTTCTGGGCCTACCTGGGCCTACCTGCGCCTCCCTGGTGCTCAATGCCATATCCATTTGCAATATTTTTCAAAACACATCGAGGGTCCACCAACCAGTGAACAACTTAGTTATAATGTCCATCATGTTGCATGCACTTGTCCTTGCGACGTGAAGTTCAGCGCACTATAAGTGGCGTTATTATCATTAATAAAAGTCTAACAAATGAAATGACATGTAGAGTTACCTTGGGGTCATGGATGAAAGCTCCCCCCTTGCTTCCAGGTGGCATGTCGCCTGTTGTCATATACTTGAGACATTCGATAACAGTCTGAAACATACATCCTTCGTTATAAGCAATTGGAAGGAGACAGCATTGTACTGCAACTCTGTTGGGTCAAAATGCTAGTAATCTGCCAGCGTATGAGATAAGCCAAAAACCCAGTCAGACATCTGGGCTGGTAACTTCAAAAACTCATCATCCCAGAAGAGATTTAACCAGTCCTTAAATACTAAATACACAGTGCCAGTGGACATGTTATCTGAATATTTTTTTTCACCCATCTATCAGGCTGGCTAGCTGTAAAATTAGAGGGCGGAGGGGTAGTCTAGCGGTTAAAGCATTCGCGTCACACGCTGAAGACCCGGGTTCGAATCCCCACATGGGTACAATGTGTGAAGCCCATTTCTGGTGTCCCCACCGTGGATGTTGCTGGAATATTGCTAAAAGCAACATAAAACCAAACTCAGTCAGTCAGTAAGTGTAAAATTAGACCGTCTGACAGAAATCTAGCCCGTTTCAGGCAGTCGGACGGGCCTTATTTCATACACTGAATCTGCCCCCCTGACCTCCTGATGTGTGTTACACCTTTAGAGTTTGGTGATAATCACATTGCTTTGAACGATATTGCTTGTACATGACAGCATGTCTGCTCTGAAGGAGAAAAGTCATGTAGGTCTTTGACATCTACTGTTTGGTGACATACATGAACACAGGTGATAGAAACATAATCAGGGTAACCATGATTTGAACCCAAGATCATAGGTTCCTGTTATTCATAAGGTACACAACTCCAACAGCCAATAGCGAGTAGAGTGTCCCCAAGATTCTTTCAGTGACACCAGAACAGACTGCAGGTAACCAGCAGAGGATGTAACATGTACACAAGACAGTCTGTTGAGATTTTTACTGCAAGATTCTACTATACGTATACATATTTTTCAGAAACATAATTCTAGTATTTTCTTAAAGCTTATTCATAGTAGAGTTACAAAATATATGCCATTTTTGCTTTAATCTCACTCGCTGAGTTCATGGCTGAGTTGGCTTATCACCAAGCGCACTTGTCCCACATGCAAAAGACGGTAGGCCATTTTGTGTACATCACTACATGTTAAGTCTTTGACTGGTAACATGATGTATTTTACATCAGATGCAATATAACGTTAAAAATTTAATTTTGACTTGATCAAACGCATCATTATATCATAAATGTTTTCCACAATAGTACAAATACATAAATGTTTTCCACAATAGTACAAATATATAAATGTTTTCCACAATAGTACAAATACATAAATGTTTACCACAATAGTACAAATACATAAATTATCAGATGCACCTACCGTTTTCCCTGTACCATTTGGTCCGAGAATGAGTGTCAGGGGCTTGAAGAATGTGATGACCTGCTTGTTGGAATCATCTGGACCAAAGCTACGCACCCCCTGAATGCTCATTTTCTCTATGGTTGACATTGTGTAAGGTCAGTTTGTCACTCTGATAGCATCTAAAAGAGAATTTTTTCTTAAACATATCAAATGATAAAATTGTCAACAAAAAATATGTGTTTTACATCTATTATTTTCTGTGTCTGCATTTTAGTATGAATTAGTGTTGGGAATTGGTTGAAATTTCACAACTGATGATTGCTCCATTACCTACGAACAATCATCGAAAAAAATTGGTTAGCATCATTTTTCAGATTTACCTATCAAAGTTGTTATTGCTGATATGTATAACATGATGCAACTTGCTACTTAAAAGTGATTACTAATATATCATGGACATTAACTTCCTGGAGTCTTAGATAAATATTCAGTCATGACTTTTCAGTTAGTGAAGTCAGTTTTCTAAGAATTTAACACGTTTTCAGGCCCTGACAACTTCTAAGATATGTTCCATTGTCAAGTGTTGCAAAGACTAAAACAGTAGTTCCAAAATCGTTTAAAATCGATTATGAGAAAATGTGATCGATTGCTTGGTCGTTTGCTTACACAGTACAAGTATTTACAATATGGAAATCAGGAAATGACTGAAATACACAGAATTATCCACAAAGCTAAGAGATTGATCTTTACTGGTGTACTCCGATCTGCTGGTTCCAGTGTAGTCTGTCGTACTGACCCTGAAATAAATATACCCAATGTAGCCCATGTAACATGTGTGGCAAGTCTAGACTGCCACAGTTTCTGATAATGAAAAACGTTTCTGGGCTCCATTTTATTGTATCTAGCTGTCTAGTTCTACGACTGAGTGCAACACAGAGATCTGCGTTTTGTCAAAGATATTCTTTTCAACAAAACTGAAAAAAATGACTCTTTCGACAAGTTTCGACAGGGCGTAGTTCGACCAGAGACCATATTATCTGATTATATGGTCTCTGCTTCGACAAGTACGCGAACAGTTTTTATATATTCTGTAATTGAATATTTCAAATTTGAGGTGACAACCAGTTGAAAACCTTCTTACTGTATGAATGGGCCACAGGTACACCACTTAACGAACTTCTGTGTTGTTGAAAATAACTTATATCCCAAATGGAAACACGACTGTGTCAACACAAACTTGATGACAGCGACATTTTCCCGCGAAGGGAGCGCTAAGTAATGCTATCGCATGCGAATCTTAATGCTAAACAGGAATATTATTCAGCTGAATCTTAACTATAATAAGTGTAATAGTATTAAAACATCTTTATTATGTCAAATTATGTAATAAAAGGGCTCGGACGTTACAATTAAGAATACATGTTACCAATTAAAATGATTTCTCCCTATGCGCTGCCTCTAAAATGCGCTGTGTAGAGTCCAAATGTCACCTGTGTACGGAGATTACAGTCACATGATTTCAAAATGGCAGCGCCCATTTGGTTACGACTTTTTCTTTTTCATTTGGTTGTTTTGTTGTCCTTCGTTGTCAGTGGGAATGCAGGTCCATTACCTCTTGTGATCAATACATGGCCTTTCACGAACGCAACTTTGAAAGGTTTATTCTTGAGTTCTTTTTTTGATATAGATAACGTGTGCACGTTCTTTTGATTGCTAATGTTCCGTAAAAAAAATCAAGTATCTACTTAGGTAATAGGTATAAGGATTACAGTACATTGTCTGACTTTATTCCTGTTTGTGTTCCTCTAGCCTGGAGTGAGATTCAGACAGGGAGCTATCTGGATGCCTTGGTTGCTGGATGCAGTGAGTGTGAAAGCCAGCAGTGTGATGGAACTGTGGGATATGGAGGCAGTCCAGATGAAATAGGGGAGACAACTCTCGATGCCATGATCATGGATGGGTAAGATCAAGCAGTTAGATAACATTCGATTACATTTGTTTGCTTCATGAATAAAATAAGCATACATTTGTTAACTGTATTTGATCAAGATGTAGATCTTGTAATATTTTCACCCAGAATAACTGACAGGAATTTTTCTTTACCATGAATGAGTATAAATCAGCTTGAAAGCAGCTTGATGGGTATGGTTTTCTGTTAATCGTTAAAGTGAAAATGCTCTTTGATGTTATTTGGTAAAATAAGATCATCGTTATTATGATTTTTGTGTTGCTTGACAGTGAGACCCATGATGTTGGATCGGTTGGAGACCTGAGGCGTGTGAAGAATGCAATTGGTGTTGCCAGAGCTGTAATGGACTACACTCAACATACTCTTATTGTGGGAGAATCAGGTAACCATGGTAACTGTGTGACACCTGTGTAATGTAGATGAAACAGACAAAGGATTCTGTAGAAATGTAATTTTATAATTAATATCATGATAATATAAATAAGAGCAACCTGTATAATATCCTTTTTTGATATTACAAACATATAGATTAAATTTATGTCATATATATGTCGATATTGTGAATGATATAATGGAGAGTTTTTGATTTGTTGCAATTGTGAGTCAATGTGACACTGCTAAGAATACATAAAGTAACTTTGTGGTTTTTCTGATCCTGTGAAAATATCTCATAACTTTGTTTCAGCCAAAGATTTTGCTGTTGAGATGGGATTCAAAGAAGAGAATTTAACAACTAACAGGTCCGCAGAGATACACAACTCCTGGCTCCAAAACAAGTGTCAGCCTAACTACAGACAGGTGGGTGTGTTATTTCTCTCAACATTCTAAGGAGAACTGAGTCAGGACACTCTACCTGCACCCCATGCTTGATGGAATAGATGACTGAAAAATGTGAAGATTTGGATATGAATTGGTCTTCGACAGCCCATGATTGTCTTAAGAGGCTAACCAGACTGGGTGGTCAGAATTGCTGACTTGGTTGATGCATGTCATCAGGGATCATAAAGGGTGGCATCCCAATCCCAAAGGATCGTGAGGGTCGCATGCTCAACCTATGCTTGTAAAGGGTCACTTGATAAACCCTGTCTGGTCCAGACTCGATTATTTACAGACCTCTAACCATATTGCTGGAATATTGCTGAGATGTGGTGTTAAAACAACAAACAAGCAAATAAACAAATCAGGTTCTGTATTTGTGCTGATTAACTAATTTTGTCCCGATTTTTGTCCCTAGCATCATTGTCATGAACATCGGTTTTAAAGAGGTTAATGTCTTGTACTTGCATCTCTTCTTGCTTCACCCTTCATCAAAAGGAGATGACTTTATGTACTGTAGTTTTATATAGTATAAAATACCATTGATTTTACAAGGGCGTCAACTTACCTTATACATGGGTCGCTTTCTATGCAGCGATATACACAGTACTGTTCAAATCAGCATCAACCCAAACCTGCTCACTCACCAGTTAGGTTTATTTCTGTGAGTACACAGAGTGACATTTGTTTGACTGCTTTCTTACAGAATGTTAGCCCAGATCCAACAAAGAACTGTGGACCCTACAAACCGAGCAGTAAGCTGTTCACACAACGAGACTTTGTAAAACCAGTTCACAGATGGAACCATGACACTATTGGGATGATCGTAGTTGATAAAGATGGGAAGGTCGGGTCTGGAACTTCCACCAATGGACTGTCACATAAAGTGCCAGGGTAAGTTAACACGTACGCGCTAATAACTTAATGTTGGAATCACAGCTAGGAATTAATCCCCAGAAACCAATCCTGGTCATTTGGGATTCAGGATTCAGGTTTAAGACTGGTCCCGAGCAACCTATGCTCATCATAATGTTGAGAAATCAGGGTTAGAAAACTTGTTATGTTGAAAGACACTTTTGCAAGATTTTCCATGTCTTTTTAATTTAAATTTATGAAAGGAAAAAGGTGTTATTGTTAGTGCTTTGCTCCTTATTTGCTTTAAACTTGTCATGTATTTATACGTTTCCTATCCAATAAGAAAAGTGTTTAGGAGATATGTGTTTGATCATTATAAAGTTACTCTGTTTGCAGGCGAGTGGGTGACTCTCCTATAGTTGGAGCAGGATCCTATGCCAGTGGTGGTGTAGGGGGTGCTGCAGCCACGGGGGATGGAGACATCATGATGCGGTTCCTGCCCAGGTGAGTATCTTGGTTTGTGTCAGTGCTTCACTAAAACTGGCACAGATGACAGTTGTTTCAATGTTTTTCAAACATCTAGTTAACCGACTGACATCACATACAATGAGCAGCATTGGTGCCTCATAATTTACGGAATGATAGTGTGTTATGCAGAGTTCCATTTTCAGGATCTTCTGTTTTGTTTGTAAATGTTAGATTTCCTGATTATGATCCAGGATCTGTTAGATTTCCTGATTATGATCCAGGATCTGGCCACACCATAGTTTCCACCTATAATTTCTTGACATTCCTTGAGATGCCTGCAGTGTAAAACCAAATGCACTCACTTACATATGGAAACTGTGTCAGCAACATTTTTGGCATCTTCATACATAACTAAGGGAAATACATTGCAGAGCTGAGCATGAAATTGGAATTTGCCTCTGATGAATGGAATTTTAATCATCATTAGTTTAAGGAATTGTATTTTGTGAAAATATTTGATATCTGACATGAAATCTTCCCAAATACAGGCTACATAAAGAGAGATGATAATGTAACTGTTAAAAGATTTTTTTTACATTTCAGGTTTCAATGCTGTCTGATGATGATGGCAAATGATGACCTGGGTCATCCAAGTCACAGCCTCCACAGAAAGCTCTCTACGACAAGCATGGGTTACTGAAAATCAATTCTAACCCAGAAAAGCATCATGCCTATCATTATGCCAGGCCATTAGTTTAAGGAATTGTATTTTGTGAAAATATTTGATATCTACCCCCAAGTTTGTTAGGTGCTGTAATGAGAGCAGCTGATACTAAAGGCTCATATGGTGAGAAATAGTGTTTACTGTGTTTAATAGATGCAATATATTATCTTTAAGCATTTCCGCTCATTTCCTCTCACTGGAACTGGTGGTGTCTTGATTTGGTGGTTAAAAATATCATCACAAAGTATTCCTGGTTTGTGTTTGCAAACTGTTTCAGATTGTTATTTGATTGATAGCTCTGATGTCATTCTCCAATTTTCCTCTTTAAGAAATAAGCAAAAGGTGATAATAACATCAAGCATAGAAGAAATCTCTTTACAGATGTTGATCCATTGGATTGCTAGTATCTTTAACACTCATATATGTCCAGAATTGGTCCCAGACTGATGTAGACCACTTCCATGAGTAGTGGTTACAGAATCCGCCCGGAGAGCAGAAGGTCGCGGGGTCGATCCCCGACTGCGCCATACCAAAAGACGTTAAAATATGGTACTTGTTGGTCCCTGCCTGGCGCTCGGCATTAATGGGTTCAACAAGGACTGGTCGGCTCGGAGTCAGTTAAATGTGTCTGAGTTGGGTATTCATGCTTCACTGCGGCATGGTATCTCAGTGGGCTAGCACTATAAAACCAGCTTACATACACATACACACGCATGCACCTCGTCGATATGAGCGAAATATTCTCAAGCACAACACTAAACCCAATTTCACCTCACCTCACCCAGTCTGATGTCTTGAATGATGCAGGCACCATTCTTGAATCCAGGAAACGTTGCTGAAGCAGGCAGTACATCCCTGTTTTCAGATAGATAACCCATCCACACATCCAGTAGGCCAGTCACATGTCAGATCTTAGAAAGTTTCAAATCACCAATTTCTTATCCGATTATGACAGTCAGCTTTCAAGAAACTTCTCAAACAGTGTTGTCTATCTCAGTGTTCATTTACAAAGGGAGATAATGCTCAAGTACCCTTTGGGAAGGAGTCACTTCAAAGATCCAGCAACAGTTGCCCTTGTTATTTTATGAATGCTTCTGTTAGCTGCCAGTAGTTGGTTGTTGTTGTTGTTGTTTAACGCCGCACTCAGCAACATTCCATCTATATGACGTTGGTCTGTAAATAATCAAGTTTGGACCAGACAATCCAGTGATCAGCAACATGAGCATCGATCTAAGCAATTGGGATACGATGACAATGACGCGTGTCAACCAAGTCAGCGAGCCTGACCACCCGATCCCATTAGTCACCTCTTACAACATGCATGGTTTGCTGAAGATCAATTCTAACCCGAATCTTCATGAGTAGCTTCCAGTAACAATCATCAGATGTATACTAACAATATATACTGCAACATAACATATGTGTTATATTTCAGGTGCTGCTTGCCATGGGTTAGGGTCTCCCTTCAAGTTCTCTGTGAGAAGTCCTGATACGCCGACTGTTACTGTTATAGAACAACCATGCATATAACTTTAGGTCATGTAATTTAGTGTGGATAGATTTGTATTTGTTTGTTTGTTGTTTAACATCGCACTCAGCAATATTCCAGCTATCTAGTGGCGGTCAGTAAATAATCGAGTCTGGACCAGACAATCTAGTGATCAACAGCATGAGCATCATCTATGCAGTTAACATATGATGATATGTGTCAACCAAGTCAGCAAGCCTGACCACTTGATCCCGTTAGTCACCTCTGAAAATCATGGGTTGCTGAAGACCAATTCTAACGTGGATCTTGTTTATATATATATATATTGCTGATAGATAGCTTGGATAATGCTCACATTAAACAACAAACGAAGCAAATTATTGGGATTTTGCTAATGTTTATTTATTCACTTGGTGCCTTGAATATATGTAACTGTTTAATATACAAACATAAATGGATAATATTTGATTATTCAAATGAGATTCTGTAAATGATATTACTGCCATCTTCATCAACAATGTTGCATTTTATTGTGCAGTGTCAAGCGATTAAACCTACTAGGATTGATAATGTTATCTTAGAACTGTGAAGATGAACATTTTACCAACTGAATGTATCTACTTAGAATTGTTCCTCAATCAGGAGCATGCCAGGCAAGAAGTAAATTATCTGAAAGTTCAAATCTTTCTGTTCACAAAGCTGTAAATGTTTATATGCAGCAGTTTCGTCTGAAGAATACTTCAGTCACATTCTCAGCCACACAAATACAAGTTTATTTTTTTTTTTGTGTTTGCGGACTATACACAGAAAATTTCACTCAAGTGTCTTTTGAGATAATGAGTCGGAAATATGTTATGATGTCTATTGCACCATACAAGGGTCAATAAAAGACAGACAAGTTGGCTGTGTATCAGCTACTGTTTACTCTCTGTGCCATGTGCGGTTGATACAAAAATTTGGAATTGAGCAATTACAAATGTGGACTTTAGTTGAAATAAATATGAAGCGGAAATAGATTGTTAATTATAAAATGATATAACAGCAAAATGTTTAAAACGTAGGCTTGCTGAAGCTTCTTTAATTTATTAAAATGATTTCAGGCATATTTCATATCAATAGACACAAGGGTGAGAATCTGTTTATCATCTGAAATTATTCCTCAGTCAACTGAAAGAGGTAACCAGATACAGTGGCAGAGAGAATTGATAACCCTGGTAACAGTGATGTCACAGTGGAAGTCTGCAGAAACCATGTTTTGATGTTGTACTGTATTTTTCTGAGATCTCGTTGACAGAAAATCCTATGACTACTGTAAGCTTAATGTGATTTTATATTTCATGTTGATATATATACAAACATTAAGTATTCAGTTACGTATCTGAAAAATTAATCCCCCATCCAAACCCCAAAGTATTGTGTTTTGTGCCCTGAATGCATCATTATCAGTCTAAGTAAACTCAGGCTCAGTATTATTCATTACACTACTCAGTTTGTAGCAGTGTAATGAATAATACTGAGCCTAAGTTTACTTAGATTGGCATCATTATCAATACAGTTTTACCCAAGGGCGGGTAACTCTAACCTACTTTCACATACGAACAAGACTGGTTGACAATGATATCTGTTTTGGTTTTGTGTTTAGATTAAAAAGGCTTTGGGGAATTGCACGTTCATCGAGTCATATCAGGCTAAACAAAAAGCAAGAAAGTTCCAGTTTGGGATGGGAAATGGGAAAGAGGCTGGCTTTTTGTTTTCTTTCAAGAAACAGTCCATTCCATTCCAAGACCCAGATCACAAGCCAACCAGCTTGTCTTATTGTACTGAAATAGTGTGTTTAAAATATTTGATGACCAAAATGTCACAGTGTGTCTGCTAGTGGGTGAGGAAGGCATCAGAAAATGGATGTAGCTGGTGGATACAATCCAGCTGAAATCTATAAATATTGGCACTGCCAAGCCGAGGGTGGTATTCAGGGCATATCTGGGCATGAGCTATGGCCAGATCGAGATTGCTGGTAGCGAAGTGATGGTCGTGTGGCATCTTGCATCACTGAGCCAGTCATTGGGCAATGATCCTGTGGATGACATGAATTAATATTGCTTAGTTTCCAAACACACACAAACACGTGTGTACCCACACACGTACGCATGCACGCACACACATTTTGATTGAAAAGGAGCCCCAGTCAGTTGGGAGATTCAGAACCTGAGGAAATTTAGACTTGCTTCATTTATTGCTTCAGTCTTGCAGAAAAGACTGGCAGTCTGTGAGAGACTAGACCTGAAGTAATGATTTTGTGTTTGCTAATATTTTTTCAACTGATGTGGATTCATGAAATAAATAGTCTGTTTGTGTTGATCATGTTCCTGGGTCTAGGGAGTTAGCTTGTCCTGTTGTTGAAATGTCGATGCATGGATCATACCATGCATTATTCATATGTTAATGTCAACATAATGTCAACCTGATCTTGGAATTAATAAATATATTGATTTGGTGACATTTCGTGAGATTACTTTGCTATTTGGAAAAGCATCCACATGTTCGTATTGAATGGGCTATCGTTTTGATTTCTTGTTGATTTTGTTGGTATATGACCATAAATATCACGTATCGTCTCTTTCCACTTAACATACCAGCAGAAGCATTCATAAAAGAACCGTGCCTGTGACGTCAGTTTCAAGGCATCACTATATTCTGCATCTCATTGGTTCCAGCTCCAGTGTATTAGAGCCATACGATCGGAAGTTACAAGATGATGCTTTCTGTACCATGTGTGTATCTCTCGACATTGACAGGATATAACAAAGCCTGGTCGGCTTGGGGTCTGTAGACTGTGTCTGGGCAGGAAGCCATGTTAAAACTGCAGCGTGGTGTCTCAAGGGCCAAGCACGATAAAGCCTGCGAATATCGGGGCTAATACAAGCTATTATACACGCACACGCCCGCAAGCTCACAAACACACGTACGTAAAGCATACGAATTCACATCACATACGTATTAGCTGCACTAGAAATCCATTTCCAGACGATTAATTTTAGATAAAAATTCCATTGATTATAATTTTCCTTTTATAAGTAGCTGGTCAGCGTTCTTCACTGGTCGAAAACGCTGATTATGAAAAGGACCAATATACGGAATGAACGTGTGTGTGTGCGCGTGTATGCGTGTGCGTGCGCTAGCCTACTGCGATACCATGCTGCAATATAAGATGGCTAAACCTCTCAGACACAATTACTGACTGGAAGCCGACTAGTCCATGTTTAATCCTCTTTATGCCTTGTCCACGAGACTAATGACTTCAGTAGTTGCGTTTGCAATATTCTCATCAAACTTCCTCCGTTCATAATAATAATAACAATAATAATAAGTACATTTATAATGCGCCAAGTCCAGACACAAAGTGTATGCTCATAGTGCTCATAGCGCT